AGTGTTGATGGGGAGCTGGGCACAGCCCCCAAAGACGTGGGCACTAACAGTCCTCTGCCTCTGTCCGGTCAGGAGAAACCCCAGCTGAGCCATATGGCTTCTCAAATGTACTTCCCTCCCTCACTCCCAACCTTCCCCCTCCTTCCCCCCACCCCAGAGACCTTGCAAAATACTCTCAGTGTGAGACCTTTGGGAAAGCAGAGAGAAACAAGTGTTTTTCTGGTAGCTTCTTCTCTTGGCCAGCTAACCCAAGTCTCTAGGCCCAGCTGCCTTTATGCCTGTGGAGGGTGGGGGTGTGGGGGGGCAGGGACAGGACTGCAAGGAGAGAAACTGCACACTAATCTCAGTAAGCGATTGCTCCACTGTTGCAGCAGAAAGAACAGTGCAGCGGGAAGTAGAAGGGAACCTGGGCCCCGGTCTCCACTCTGGGCCCAAATATCTTCATCGGTAAAATATTTACAGGGAATGCTCTGGGTGGGGTTGGGAGAATCCCACCCAGTTTGCAAAGTAGATATAGATATCGGCAAACTCCCCACAAAATGCCCCAGTCAGACCCATGCCAGCCCGGATAGCGAGGCTGAGAGACGGGGCCCTGGAGGTACTACGTGTTGTAGGTGCCCGGGTGCCTCCTGGCTGTGTGAGCAAGCGAGGTGGGGGCAGGGGCAGGTGAGAAATCGCAGAGGCTTCCTAAAGTCCCGTTTCAGTATCTAGAACAAGGGTTCTTACCTGGGGTCTATAAACCACGGACTGCACACTGATTCAGAGGCCCGTGAACCTGAACAGGGAAATACCACAACTTTGCCTCACTCGCCTGCCTTTGGGTCCAGGCAGCAAACTGCAGCTGTGCTGGTGGCGCCAGCGGGCAGCAGAGCTCTCTCGCCCTTCCTGCTGCTGCAGATGCGTCCCGACACGCCACTGCACGCTCCGCCACTCCGCGCCCGCAGCTGTTGTTAGGCCCACCCCTAGCACTGGTTATGCAATGTGCTAGTAAAGAAACCCAGGTCTCGAAACACCACACATTTAATCAAGTATTTCCGCAACTGTATTCCAACATTCCTAGCTTGCTTTGCAAACCTGTGTATTTTACTGTATGCATATGAAAATATTATTTTGAGAAGGGATCCATGGCCCAAAAAAGGTCAAGAGCTCCCAGCCCAGGGGAGCCTTGCTGACACTGGTCCAGCTCAGGGGAGCAGAGGCTCTGTGGGAGGAGCCGGGTCAGAGTTCCACCTGCTCCAGGAAGC